ATAACCGGCAGCGACGATTCCTCCCTCCATGCTTTTAGGGTGGATGGGGGAATAGATTGATTTGGTCTGTGGGCTGAACAAGAGTAATGGGACTGTGTAAGCTGGCTGCCAACATAAATCAGGCTGTTGTAGATAACAGATGCCATGCAGATTCTACTTTACACAGAAAATATGAAAGTTTTTAGACATATTCTGCTGCTAAACTATGTTTGATATTGCTCAATGCAGATGTTATATACAGTACATGCCCATCTCCTACTAACTGTTGAACCTCCAAGAGCAATTCCACTTTTGATTTCTCCAGCCTGGGGGGAAGATGATGCACAGTGTGATCCCCACCAGTCCTTACCACTATCCAGGTCCTTGCTTGGGAGCTTCTCTTCTATTTGCAGCAATGCCACGATTGGCTGGCCATTGTTAACAGACATGAAGAACCAGTAGGGAATAGATAACACAGCAGTTGTGTATCCTGCCCCTCTCAGGAACTTGCTATAGAAGCAGGTGGAAAATACACCTAGGTAACTGCTTGCCAAAACTTGGGCTTGTGATTCACGAGGTGGATAAAGACTCACCCTTGTGAGTAGGGGCGGACTGACAACTCATGGGGCCCCTGGGAAATAGGGGATCATGGGGCCCCTGTGTCCTTGCCCACACTCAAAGCACATCCAAAAAAGCCTATAAAAGGTACAAGGGGCATTTCATGGGGCCCCCTACTGACCCCGGGAACTCGGCAGTGCCCGAGTGCTCGAATGGTCAGTCCGCCCCTGCTTGTGAGTAACCACAGGACAAAAGTAAAGAAGATAGGCGTGAGACCCCTTATAGCAGGGGTGGGCAATAAATTTTTTCTCAATGGGCCACATGAGAAATGAGACTATTGCGTAGAGTCAACCTGGGAAGGTCCATAAGTACCTGAACATACAGAAAAACAAACACCTAATGCTAGGATTAATAGGTACAACTGCTCATTAAATAGGTCCCTTTCAGAGAGGTGACCAATGGGTGGTAATAACAGGTGGCTGAGCTGCAGTTTTACCACTCCTTGTGCTGCCCACCTGAATGGGGCTGTAAACATCCAGCGGGATGCAATGTTTTACAAGCAACTGCTTGTCAAACTCACCCATTAAGTTCAATGGGGCTACGCTGCAACCTCGTACGCAATTGTTGCGCAGTAATGTGGCATTATAGGGTTAAATCAGGCGTTGAGGAGGCAATATAACACCTCTGCACTGCCTGTCAACTGCCCTCTGTAAAGCACTGCGACTGGAAGGAGAGTGCCTGAGATCAGTACAGCAGGGATTTCTGCAGATGCTGATCTGGAGTGAAGAACAGGTATACGGCTCCTGGTGTTTGCAGCATGCAGACGCTAACACAGGGAAAGCTTGGCTGGGTAGCAGAGTGACAGGAGAGCATTAGGTGTATTCTAGGCAATGCTCTCCCTCTAGAACCAAATCTGTCTGCTGCAGGGGCGGACTGACAACTCATGGCGCCCCCGGGCAATAGGGGATCATGGGGCCCCTGTGTCCTTGCCCAAACTCAAAAAAGCCTATGAAAAAGGTACCAGGGGCATCTCATAGGGCCCCCTACTGACCTCGGACAGTGCCCAAGTTTCCAACTGGTCAGTCCGCCCCTGGTCTGCTGTACCAATCAGCTCCTGAGGCTCTCTCCTTCCAGTTCTTGCAGAGAGGCATGCAGACAGTGGAGGCATCGAGGGCCAGCCAAAGGGCCGCGGTTTGCCCCCAGGCCTGCCGTATACTGCAGTATGCAATAAAGCACAGGGTATGGGATCATTTGAAAAAAAAACAAGAGCACAGGAATGGTATGGCTTACAGTTGATGTGGTTGCGAGTGAAGGAAATAAAATGTAGATACAACCTGTAGACAGTGCTTGTGGAGAATATATATCTGTCTCCCTGCAGAAGCAGGGATGGATTCACTCAATGCTCTGGGGCTAATCCTAGGTCCACTTCAGGGACATCGGGATGGTGGTATGAAGTCAGTATGGACCTGAAAATGGTCTTGTAGAGACGCCTGTTGGAGGGTATTGTGGAGATGTGGTGGACTGTAAAGAAACTTCCCAAAGAAAGTTACCGCAATTTAGTCCTTTTATATAATAAAGACAGCCATGACATGTTTCGTGACAACTTGTCACTTTCTTAGATAGGAGGTGTGTAACACAGGGTAGTTGGTTGGCTACTAGCAGAGCCCTCCACCTCCAGCCAAGCTTACCAAGCAGTGCTCTGCCTGTAGTCGACTAGATGGTCTGCTATGCACCTTCTATCTGAGGAAATGAAAAGTGGTCATTAAAGGAGTCATGGGTGTTCTTTAGTATTATAAGACTAGTTGGACATTTCTTCATTCAAGGTCCACCACTACACTCCCATGGGTGCCTCTTTAATACCATTTGCAGGTTTTCTTCTGACCACATGACTAGGGAACAGCTTAGCCCAAAACATCAATGGTGGGGATGTTGGGATACTGTATGAGACCCCTGGAGGCCAAGACATTTGGTCATGTGATCTCAATTGAAAGAACCAAGGGACTCATGCCTAGGCAGAGCTAGCAAGTCTTCGGCAGTCAGTAACTCTGGTTCTATGATCACGAGGGGACATTAACTCTTCTTGCCCTTTTCATCAGGTCTACCTATGACCTCAGCATCATCAGTGCAAGAAACACAATACTATAACAAGCTGCAGGTTCTGTGTGTAGGTGTGTAGGCATTGAATTTGTCAGCCTAATTTAAAATTTAGGTAGTGCACAGATAACTATGTCCTATAAAAATATTGACAACTGCACATACATCAGTTTAAAATAAAACCTAAATACTATTCTAGTCAATACATCCATAAACTAATATATGAATTCTAAGACTGACGTATGCAGTAAGTATATTGTTATACTGAAAATGTAATAAAAATTTCTATTCTTTTTTAGATTTAAGATTTTTTTAAAGGTTTGTTTTTACTTTTTTTGGGGGAGAAAAAAAAAAAAAAACGAACAAATTGCAGAGCCAATATTGGCAGTTTTCCTTCAGACGTAGTCTGTTCAGACGGTGGGTTTGTGCAGTGTGAGAAGGCAGCGCGGAGCTCTTGTCATTGAATGCAGGCCATGGTTGCCATAGGAACTACAGAACTTCTTTAAAGAGCTATAAGGGAGGATAATGACTTACTACACTACTGTCTGTATGAAGTCAGGCAAACATACAAATGCACTTCCTTAACTTCACTGTCAGCCACCCCGGGGTACAGTCAGCAGTATAGAGAGGCCTACTTATTATAGACATAAATCTGGGAATAGAAAGGACTCTCCTCTGCTGGCAGCAAAAAGGAATATTATTTTCGCACAGGAAATGAGTGCAATAAACCTCAAAGCCCACCTGGAATTTAGTAATAAACATATTGCTTGCTGTGAAATGGGGGGAGACATGTGCGGAGAAAACGAACAACAGATGAGGACAGAGGGTCTTTACTGTCTCAACTCGGCAGCGTTCCAGTATCTATGTCAATCCTCAGCATTAGTCACAGCAAAATCAATATACCTTGCTGGAGCCACCAATATCTGCAGAGTAATCAAGAGGATGTCAGCTGGGCTTTGTTGGCCAGAAAAGCCCCTCTAATTCTGGTTTCCCTTTTTAGTCAAGGGTTAACGTCCCAGACTTTGGGGCTGAGCTCCACTCACCATGCTCAAGCCCAATGTTAGCACCCCAGTGACCCATGAAGGTACTATCATTAGAGGAGGCAAAGGAAGGTGGTGGAAGGTAGACAGGGGATGGAAAGAAGAGAAGTGGTGGAAAAAGGACAGGGGGTGGAAAGAAGACGGGGGGTGGAAAGAAGACGGGGGGTGGAAAGAAGACGGGGGGTGGAAAGAAGACGGGGGGTGGAAAGAAGACGGGGGTGGAAAGAAGACAGGGGGTGGAAAGAAGACAGGGGGTGGAAAGAAGACAGGGGGTGGAAAGAAGACAGGGGGTGGAAAGAAAGGGGGTGGAAAGACGTCAGGGGGTGGAAAGACGTCAGGGGGTGGAAAGACGTCAGGGGGTGGAAAGACGTCAGGGGGTGGAAAGACGTCAGGGGGTGGAAAGACGTCAGGGGGTGGAAAGACGTCAGGGGGTGGAAAGACGTCAGAAAGACGACAGGGGGTGGAATGAGGAGGGGGGAGAGTGAAAGATGTAAAGGGGGTACAGCGAGGATGGGGAGATGGAATGAAGACAGGGGGTGGAAAGAAGAGAGGCAGTGGAAAGAAGACAGTGGGTGGAATGGGGAGGGGAAGTGAAAGATGTAAAAGGGAGTGGAGTGAGGATGGGGAGGTGACATGAAGACAGGGGTGGAAAGACGACAGGGGGTGAAATGAGGAGGGGAAGTGAAAGATGTAAAGGGGGTGCAGCGAAGATGGGGAGGTGGAAAGAAGACAGGTGGTGGAAAGAAGACAGTGAGTGGAATGGGGAGGGGAAGTGAAAGATGTAAAGGGAGTGGAGTTGGGATGGGGAGGTGAAATGAACACAGGGATGGAAGATGCCAGTGGGTGGAAAGAAGACAGGGGGTGGAAAGAAGACACGGGGGGGGGGATAAAGAAGACAGGGGGTGGAATGAGGAGGGGCAGTGAAAGATGTAAAAGGGGTGGGGAGTGAGGATAGGGAGGTGGAATGAGGGAAGGGTTTTGGAAAGTGGATGGGTGGTCAAGGTGGATGGGTGACGGAGTGTGGACATGAGGTGGAGTATGTCCATGGTTTGGAATGTGCAAAGGAGGTAGAGTGTGGACCAGGGAGGGGGGGGGGGGGAGCAGTAAAACAGACTGACGGTGGAACCTGACAGGGCTCTGCAACAAAGGCTGTACAGGTCTTTGAGCCTGCAGAAGGTAACAAAGCACTTTTTGCTGACATCTTCCTGCTTCTGTGGATACAAATATGTCAATTAAACCTAAAGTTCCGCATAGGAAATGGCTTGTTATGTTTTCCTGCACTTTGTTTGGGCAAAGGCTCCCAGTTACAGAAGTGGCAGCACAACGTACCTTTCTTGGCCTTTTTCTGAAGTTTTAGAGTGTCGGATGACTTTTTCTTGATTTCTTGACGGGCCTTTTTGTATTCTGAAAGAACAATGCAAGTAATATTAGCAACACACACAAAAAAAAAAGAAAGTCTGCGGGGTAACATTCTACTGCAGGAAATGTACCGTATATATATTCCTATCCTTAACACTGGACTTTTGAATTACAGTGGACCTAAGGGGTATTCTGTCCCTATGTATGATAAATATAACAAAAAAAAAAAAAAAAAACTTCTCATGCCTTTCCTGCAGAAAATAGATTACAGTGGCAGTCATATGACCATATACCTAAGCACTAGTTTACATCATCTTGGGCAGTCTTGAAAGCCTTTTTTAGCTGATATCGTGAACACACCCCTAGGTAGACGGTCACATGACCATATACCTAGGCATTATTTTTTTATCATCTTGGCCAATCCCAAAAGTCTCTTTAGCTGAGATCACATAACCAAACACCTATGATAGTCACTGTCAACCCGCAGCAGTTTTTTCATCAAGATATGAGTGTTAGAAGGATATGTTTTAACCTTTCTTACAAATATTCCAGAGTGTTGTACCATGTTTGGCCATCAACATAAATTGAAGTTTGGATCTAGGGTGTCACCATTTATTGGCTAACTAGAGTGCCTCTTCTACAGGCAATATTAAAGTAGAAACTGTGCCCCATTGTAGAGATTTCCCTTCACTTCCTGTCCCATAGCCAAACAGAAAGTGAGAGAAAATCCCTGAAAACTAAGGGAATTCCTCGGGACCCCCAGGTCACCAGAACTAGTCTTGGAAGATTTCCCCTTTATTATTTTTACGGGGACAACCCAAAATGTGTGATTTTCTTTTACTTTCACTTTCAATAACGGTAAACAGGAAAAATAGAGAGGGCAAATCTTCCTAATGGGGATGCACTGATATATTGGCTGCCGAAAATAGGGTTATTGGCGTTTTGCCGATAGAAAAAAAAAAAAAGGTGCTGATAATGGCATGATGCGTCCCATAGACTTCAATGCAAAGTCACGTCCCATTGACATCAATGCCAAAACTCCCCCTGGGTGACAAAACACCAGCCACATTAATTAAAATGGAACTGCGCTGCATCTATGCACCACAAACCAAAATGATCTAGAATTCATTTTTAATATTAAAAACACCCTCCTCCATCCATATCTCCATGCTTTATTTTGCTGAGAAATCATTTTGAAAAACACCTCCTGGCATTTCTGGCTGGGGCCATCTTGAGTAAGGGCAGATGATTCATGTAGCAGTTACTTCCTGGAATCCATCTGGCCTTCGCTCAGGCACTGGCTGAGCTGAGAACTTTCCCTCTCCTCCTGAAGAGGAAACCAGGAAGTAACTGAAGGAATACAAAAAAAAAAATATATATAAACAAATAAATAAAAAAATGTTAAAACAAGTAAATATGATATACTTTCCCTATCTTTTTACTAATGCTAGAGCAATGTTGATTGAGAGAGTGTTCCACTTTAAAAAAATATAATGATAATAATAATTTAAAATGTCTGTTTCGGTTTTGGGCAAGTGCATCTGAATTTTCGGTTTCGGCACCAGAATTTTCATTTTGGTGCATCACTAATAAAAACAGGGGGTTCTAATCCCTCTCTACTCTGCCCAAGACTAAAAAAAAAAAAAAAAAGTTAAAGTGTTACTAAACCCAGGACCCTGCATTCACTATATCCGGTCTCCCCTGACCCTGCATTCACTATATCCGCTCTCCCCGGACCCTGCATTCACTATACTCCGGTCTCCCCGGACCCTGCAGTCACTATATCCGGTCTCCCCGGACCCTGCAGTCACTATATCCGGTCTCCCCGGACCCTGCATTCACTATATCCGGTCTCCCCGGACCCTGCATTCACTATATCCGGTCTCCCCGGACCCTGCAGTCACTATATCCGGTCTCCCCGGACCCTGCAGTCACTATATCCGGTCTCCCCGGACCCTGCAGTCACTATATCCGGTCTCCCCGGACCCTGCAGTCACTATATCCGGTCTCCCCCGACCCTGCGTTCACTATATCCGGTCTCCCCCGACCCTGCGTTCACTATATCCGGTCTCCCCCGACCCTGCGTTCACTATATCCGGTCTCCCCCGACCCTGCGTTCACTATATCCGGTCTCCCCCGACCCTGCGTTCACTATATCCGGTCTCCCCCGACCCTGCGTTCACTATATCCGGTCTCCCCCTGACCCTGCGTTCACTATATCCGGTCTCCCCCGACCCTGCGTTCACTATATCCGGTCTCCCCCGATCCTGCGTTCACTATATCCGGTCTCCCCCGACCCTGCGTTCACTATATCCGGTCTCCCCCAACCCTGCGTTCACTATATCCGGTCTCCCCCGACCCTGCGTTCACTATATCCGGTCTCCCCCCGACCCTGCGTTCACTATATCCGGTCTCCCCCAGACCCTGCGTTCACTATATCCGGTCTCCCCCGACCCTGCGTTCACTATATCCGGTCTCCCCCGACCCTGCGTTCACTATATCCGGTCTCCCCCAACCCTGCGTTCACTATATCCGGTCTCCCCCGACCCTGCGTTCACTATATCCGGTCTCCCCCGACCCTGCGTTCACTATATCCGGTCTCCCCGACCCTGCGTTCACTATATCCGGTCTCCCCGACCCTGCGTTCACTATATCCGGTCTCCCCCGACCCTGCGTTCACTATATCCGGTCTCCCCGGACCCTGCGTTCACTATATCCGGTCTCCCCGGACCCTGCGTTCACTATATCCGGTCTCCCCGGACCCTGCGTTCACTATATCCGGTCTCCCCGGACCCTGCGTTCACTATATCCGGTCTCCCCGGACCCTGCATTCACTATATCCGGTCTCCCCGGACCCTGCATTCACTATATCCGGTCTCCCTTGGACCCTGCATTCACTATATCTGGTCTCCTTGGACCCTGCATTCACTATATCTGGTCTCCCCGGACCCTGCATTCACTATATCTGGTCTCCCCGGACCCTGCATTCACTATATATGGTCTCCCCGGACCCCGCATTCACTATATCTGGTCTCCCCGGACCCTGCATTCACTATATCTGGTCTCCCCGGACCCCGCATTCACTATATCTGGTCTCCCCGGACCCCGCATTCACTATATCTGGTCTCCCCGGACCCTGCATTCACTATATATGGTCTCCCTGGACCCTGCATTCACTATATATGGTCTCCCACAGCACATATAACATGGAAATGAAATTATTTTAGTAAATATAAACTGCTAAAGACCTTTTCTCATCAGCTGTATATAGCAGTCTTGTGTCTTTTATCAGTGTCCAGCAGAGCACTGGTTAAAGCTTGTAGGAGGAGTTTTCATTCTGCTCTAGGAGGATGCAGAACCCCTGACCTCTGTCTGGACAGCACTGATTGGCCCTGTGCTGATCACATGCACTCTCCCAGGAAAAAAAAAAACCTCTCTAGCAACACACACCAAATTGTGCATGTGCAGAGTGACTCCACACGATATGTCAGGAGTTAAGAGGGGGACAATGGAAGAAGGAGAGGATCAGAGTAGTCAGGATCAAAAAGCATTTTTACACAATGCAGATGATTAACCCCTTAGGTCCCACAGTGAGTATAACAAGCATGCTTTACTGCATATACAGACTGATTTTACTGTTGTGGGTTTAGTAACACTTTAAGCCTTTAGTTATACTTTAAGTGCATTACTATTACTTTTTAGAAGTACAAATGCAACAATGATCTGAAGTTTACCTGCAGCCTTGTTAAAGTATTTTTTACATCAATAGGTTGGCTAGCAAATTTATTTTACAGGGGATCACCGGGGATTATCACTAAGGTATGGGCCTTAGGCACACAGTCAAGGATGTTAATACCTCAATACTGATAGCAACCAGATAATCAAAATGCAGAACAGGTTCACTTTAAAGGGTATGAAAGGCCAAAACTATTTTCTAAACTTTGGATAGAATGGTAGGATTTTGAACACCTGATAGGTTCTTATTGCTGATTGCCCACTGGAGAGTATCATCCTCTTTACTGGCAAGATTGATGGCAAATCCAAAGTTTGTGTGTTGTCACAATTTCATTGGATCTTCCAATGAGGAAATCTCATCTAGCGCCATCTAAGGCTCACCACACAAACTGGCTGTATATCCTCCTTTGAATTTACCAACTAGTGTAGTGCACGGGCCTGCTTGATGGGATAGTTTAGGTAGGTCCTCATATTACAGTTTTGTTAAATCAAAAAGTAAATTGTACAAAGATTGTATGGTCAGATTGTAATGGCCACAGACACTTTGATTTTTCAACTGGTTGATGTGTGATTTGATCCAAACGATTGGATCTGCATACATTTGAATAGTCATACCTTCCCTTCTGATTGTTTTAGAGTCAGTTTTGATTGGATTCAATTAGTCAGTAGGCCAGGGCGGAATATTATCAATCGTTTTGCATCAATTGACAGCACTGAGATTCTTTGTACAGGTATTTTGATAGATCAGATTACTTGGTAGAAACAGAGATACGATCGATAATTTATATTCCTATCGACCAGAATTCACTGACTATAGATTAATTATTCCTATCGACAGAGAACAATCGGATAATAAATTGATCGTTTAGCGTGTATGCACCAAATGCAAAAAAAGTTATCCCTGCTCCAGGTTGGTCTGTCTTTACAGCCCAATTCCCCAATAGGTGCAGGTCCAACTCGGGACAGTATGCATGCAGAGAAAGTCGGATGAACACACAGCAATGTCAATGACAAAAAAAACCCAGGAAAGCCTTTTGACGCATTTCACAAGAGAGATATTTGGTGCACTCAGAGGAAAAAGACCAGATGTATTATGTGATGACTAGTATATGAACCACACAAGTAAAGTCCATAAAGTCCAAAGGTGGTTAAGGGATAATGCAACAATGCTTGAGAAGCAGCGCCAAATAGGTTCAACAACAAGAACAAATCATTTATTTCCACAAAAATGGCAGCTCACAATAGTAGTAGTCAAAATAAGTGCTTATCAAACTGGTATCAACCGCTGTGCAACTCCTGTCCAGTCCCGCTGCAGGAAGGTCTTCAATGCACTGTCCTTGGCTGTGCTGGTGGCTCCCAGCTCTTCCAGGTCGTTGTGGATCCTCAGGGTGGGCAGGAAGGATGTTAGCTCCAGGTACAGCAGCAGTAGGCATGGCATGTATTCAGAGCATGCATGCTCCTACATCAGGTCATACTGTGCGGCCTGATGGAGCATGAATGCTCAGAACGCGTGCCACGCCTACTGCTGCTGTACCTAGAGCTAACATCCTTCCTGCCCGCCCTGAGGATCCACAACGACCTGGAAGAGCTGGGAGCCACCAGCACAGCCATTCAGCAGCGGGGACTGGACAGGAGTTGCACAGCGGCTGATACCAGTTTGATAAGTGCTCATTTGTATACTACTATTGTCAATTTTGTGGAAATTATTAATTCTTATTGCTGCACTTAGATGGCGTTGCTTCTCTCCTTTTTATATTGATGCATTTCACACCTGCAGGGCGCTTACATAGTCTGGCTGAAAAAAGACAAAAGTCCATCCAGTTCAACCACAAAAAAAAAAGTTATAATCCTATACCCACACTTGATCCAGAGAAAGGCAAAAAACTCAGCAAAGCATGATCCAATTTGCCCCTGCAGGAGAAAAAAAATCCTTACGGATCCCTCGAGAGGCAATCGGATATTCCCTGGATCAACTTTACCTATAATTGTATCGTATACATATATATAGTATCGTTATGTTATGTGCATCTAGGAAAGAATCCAGGCTTTTTTTTAAAGCACTCCACTAAGCTAGCCAGAAACAGCTCTTGAGGGAGTCTATTGCACATTCTCACAGCTCTGACTGTGAAGAATCCTTTCCGTATTTGGAGATGAAATCTCTTTTCTTCCAGACGTAAAGAGTGCCCCCTTGTCCTCTGTGATGACCTCAAAGTGAATAACAATACACCGGGTTCACTATATGAACCACTGATGTATTATACATGGAGATCATATCCCCCTTTTGTATTATACATGGAGATCATATCCCCCCCTTATGTATTATACATGGAGATCATATCCCCCCTTATGTATTATACATGGAGATCATATCCCCCCTTATGTATTATACATGGAGATCATGTCCCCCTTATGTATTATACATGGAGATCATGTCCCCCCTTATGTATTATACATGGAGATCATATCCCCCCTTATGTATTATACATGGAGATCATATCCCCCTTATGTATTATACATGGAGATCATATCCCCCCTTATGTATTATACATGGAGATCAAATCCCCCCTTATGTATTATACAGTTGTGGAGATTATTCAACCCCCCTGAAATTGAGTGTTTTGGCCATTTGACATTGCTTTTGATCATTCAGTCATCTGTATTACATGGAGATCATATTTATGTATTATAAGAGGCACTTATCCCTCAGACAAATATATTATACAGTGATAATATCCCCCCTTATGTATTTCTACACAGCATTATCAGTATCAACCCCCAATGACATTCATATCATGGTATCAGTACCCTCCCTTATGTATTCTACATGGAGATAGCTTGACATCTCCCTTGCAGCGATCTTATGTATTATACATGGAGATCACATCCCCCTTATGTATTCTACATGGAGATCACATCTTAGGCTTGCTTATGTATTCTTTAAGTCCCACCAGAGGTTCTCACATCCCCCCTTATGTATTCTACATGACTGATCACATGGCCCCCCCCCCCCCCAGCCTTTCCTTATGTATTATGGACATGGAGATCATATCCCCCTTATGTATTATAAGGTCCATATCCCCCTCAGGTGTTATGGATGCATACATGGTGATCATATCCCTGGTACTGAAGAGATGTATTCTACATGGACCATCACACGCTCCCCCCCCCCCCCCTTATGTATTGCAGACATGGAGAATATCCCCCTTATGTATTCTACATGGAGATCACATCTCCCTTATGTACAGTAGGCAAGGTGTTCACATCCCCCTTATGTATTCTACATGGAGATCACATCCCCCCCCCCCCCCTTATGTATTATACATGGAGATCATATCCCCCTTTTGTATTATACATGGAGACATGTCCCCCCTTATGTATTTTACATGGAGTCGATCACATCCCCCGCTTATGTATTCTACATGGAGGCTTCATAATACGAGATCACATCTCCCTTATGTATTCTACATGGAGATCACATCCCCCTTATGTATTCTACATGGAGATCATATCCCCCCTTATGTATTATACATGGAGATCATATCCCCCTTATGTATTATACATGGAGATTATATCTCCCCCTTATGTATTCTACATGGAGATCACATCCCCTTCTTATGTATTCCCTACATGGAGATCACATCCCCCTTATGGACATTATCTTGCCTTCACATGGAGATCACATCCCCCCAGTAAATGTATTATACATGGAGATCACATCCCCCCTTATGTATTAAAGCATGGTGATCATTATCCCCCCCTTATGTATTATACATGGTGATCATATCCCCCCTTTATGTATTATACATGGAGATCATATCCCCCTTATGTATTATACAGAGGAGATCATCTTCCCCCCTTATGTATTATGGCATGGCGATCATATCCTCCCTTATGTATTATACATGGTGATCATATCCCCTCTTATGTATTATACATGGTGATCATATCCCCCCTTTATGTTATTATACATGGTGATCCTATCCCCCCTTATGTATTATACATGGAGATCCTATCCCCCTTATGTATTATACATGGAGATCCTATCCCCCTTTATGTATTATACATGGAGATCATATCCCCCCTTATGTATTATACATGGTGATCATATCCCCCCTTATGTATTATACATGGAGATCATATCCCCCTTATGTATTATACATGGAGATCATATCCCCCCTTATGTATTATACATGGTGATCATATCCCCCCCTTATGTATTATACATGGAGATCATATCCCCCTTATGTATTATACATGGAGATCATATCCCCCCCTTATGTATTATACATGGCGATCATATCCCCCCTTATGTATTATACATGGAGATCCTATCCCCCCTTATGTTTTATACATGGAGATCCTATCCCCCTTTATGTATTATACATGGAGATCCTATCCCCCCCTTATGTATTATACATGGAGATCATATCCCCCCTTATGTATTATACATGGAGATCATATCCCCCCTTAATGTCCTCTTCTCAAGAGAGAATAAATTCAGTTTCTCTAATCTTTCCTCATAGCTGATCTCCTCCATGCCTCATATCAGTACATGGTTGCCCTTCTCTGTACTTTCTCCCTTCCCCAATGTTCTTTTTGTGAATTGCTGCCCCTTATGAACTTATACATTCCAGATGAGGTCTTACTAATGATTTGTACCGGGGGAAATGGTGATATCTCTCTCTCTGGTGTCTATACCTCTTTTAATACATGAGAGGATTTTGCTCGCTTTAGAAGCTGCATTGGCATTGCATGCCCCCCTTATTAAGCTTGTGATCTATCAGAACTCCCAGATCCCCCATTGATTCCCAGTTGTACCCCCCCCCTAGTATGTATGATGCATGCATATTCTTAGCCCCCAAGTGCAGAACCTTACATTTATCAACATTAAACCTCATTTGCCACATAGTTGCCCAATTACACAGAGCACTGAGGTCGGCTTGTAAGTTTTGTTTTGTTATGATTAAAGCACCCTACAGGAATGAAACGCATCGTTAGGCTTCCATTTGTGACATGGTCTAATATTACTAATGCTTTTAATAGTTTGAATAAAGAAGATGCTTTGTATTGACATTGGTGTGCGGTCATCCGACGTTCTCTGTGTGTATGGTCAGTATATTGTGTATTGTGATTTCCCCTAACTTTGAAGAGATCTTTTCTTACTTCCTGCTGAGTCCCTGGGACAGAAAGGGAATTTTTAAAAGGATCCAACCAAGGGTCTTAACTACTCAACAAAAAGCTAATTAAAAAAAAAATAAAGCCTGGGCTTTATAGGCACATACATGAGTCAGAGCAGAAGTGTAAAAAACAGGGTGTAACCCAAAGTATTTTTTTGAGGGACCCAATGCAGCAAAAATCCCAACTCCCACCTCTAAAAAAAAATGAATTGCATTCAAGTGAGCCCCAGAGGGATTTCAAACATTTTCTCCATCATTGGAAAGCTCCTTTAATGGCAGACCTTTTATTGCTCTCCAGTGATTGCTACCTTTAGCATGGTCCTTGTCGAGCTGATTAGCAACCTTCTTCCATTCCTCGACTTGCTCTTGCAGAGGATTGATCAGACAGTCAATCAAAGCACTGAGATGTAAAATAAACAGAAAAAAATCATCAGTATCATTTAAGCAAAAAAAAAAAAAAAAAAAACAAAAAATGCATGGATGACGTACATCAAGCAGAGCAGGGAGGTAGGTGTACAAGTGCATAGTTTTGTCTTTGTCTCAGTAATTAGAACACAGCGGGGGAGATTAAAACTGCATAGTGAAAAATCTGGTACAGCTCTGCACAGAAACCAATCAGCTTCCAGGTTTTATTGTCAACACGTAATTGAACAAGCTGAAGTTAGAAGCTGATTGGCTCCCATGCAGAGCTACACCAGATTTTGCACTCTCCAGTTTTAGTAAATCAACCCCATTGAGTTAAATGTAGAGACAGAGAGGAATACAGCAGAAAATGGAGATATTCTATGCACTGTATTTTAAATGTTTTAAAATTATTATTATTATACAGTATTTATAAAGCGCCAATAGTTCGCTCAGCGCTGTACATTACAAAGGGGGACAGAACATGTGACAGAACAATACCAATACAATGCAAAACATGAGGGGATTGAGGGCCCTGCTCTTTGGAGCTTACAATCTAGGAGGGAGGGGATAGTGGTTCAGGAGGAGATAGCTGTGGGGGATGGAGTGGTAGGAAGAGTGGAGGAGGTCGGCAATTAGCAGGGGGTGGGGTAGGCTTCCCTGAAGAGATGGGTTTTCAGGGTGCACCTAAAGGAGAGGAGAGTAGGTGATAATCTAATGGGTTGGGGCAGGGAGTTCCAGAGGATGGGTGACCACCCTGGAGAAGTCCTGGAGGCGGGCATGGGAGGAGGAGACCAGGGAACTGCATGCCACCTGCACTTCTCCTCCTCGTCTTCCTCTCCTCCATCCCAAAAATCGCCTCCCTCTACCCGCCCACCCCCCCAAAACAGCTCTACATTGCCCCTTCACTTCTGCCCTCTCCCCACTACGGCACTCACCACCTCCTCCTGGTACTCCACTCCCGGTCGACCCACGTGCCACCACTACCAGACCCGCACGCTCCTACACCTCCCATTCCCATGCCACCCTCCTCACCCTTCTCCTTCTCCTATCCGCCGGGGACATCTCCCCGAACCCTGGCCCCTCACCACCTCTCCCCCCCTCCAGGGACCCCCCTGCCCCCGCCAGCCGCCCGCAACCCCCTCAACCTCATACCTGTGCACCTCCTCCCCGCATCCATCCCCCCTCTCTCGGTTGCACTTCTGAACGCCCGTTCGGTTTGCAACAAACTAACTGCCATCCATGACCTCTTTATCTCCCGCTCCCTCAACCTCCTAGCCATCACCGAAACCTGGGTACAGGCCACTGACACTACCTCCCCTGCGGCACTCTCCCATGGACGTCTCGTCTGGTCCATTCACCTAGATTGGGCGGTCACAAAGGTGGTGGTGTCGGCCTGCTCCTATCACCGCTGAGCACCTTCCAGGTCCTCCCTAACCCCCCTCCCTAACCTTCTCCTCCTTCGAGGCTCACTGCATCCGGCTCTTCTCACCCACCCCCCTAAGGATCGCAGTGATCTACAGGCCCCCCCGGATCCATAGCCCGCTTCCTGGATGACTTCGCCGCCTGGCTTCCCTTCTTCCTCTCCTCTGAGCTACCGACCATCATCCTCGGGGACTTCAACATCCCCATCAATGACAACACCCCAGCTACTTCCCAACTCCTCCACCTAACCTCCTCCTTCACACTCACACAATACACTCAATCCTCCACCCACATCAATGGGAACACCCTGGACCTCGTCTTCTCCCACCTCTGTACCCTTAACCACTTCACTAACACCCCCTTCCCTCTCTCCGACCACCACCTCCTCACGTT